TAATTTTTATTTGAAAAAATGAGTGCTATTTTGAATCCATAATGATAGCTAATAAATATTAAGTATATGGGTACCAGCACTGTTCTAATTACAATTCAATGTATTTAATAACCCTATGACAATTTTACTTATTACCCACTTTCTAGAATGAGAAGCCAAGAGAAGCTAAGTTATCTTACTCAAGATCCCATCACTAGTAAGTGTAAAGTCAAGATATGAGCCCTGGCAGACTGTCTCCAGAGCCAGTCCGTATTCTTATTTTCAACACTAAATGACATACTCTTTATTATTTTAACAGAAAATTACAATGATCCATATTTAACTGAAGAATAGATTCCTTCTGAAGTTAATGTTGAAAGCCCATTCCAGTACAGTGTCCTGGCCTTTTCACTGTTGAAAGATTCTTTGGTGCTTATTTGAAACAGATGCAAACACTTAAAGCATCCATTCACATTGTGTTTCCCTGTGATTTGCTAGAATATGTCAGGTTGCCTCCAGGAGACCCATTTCTAAGTGACTGTCTGATTTCATTTGTCTTCCTACTCCCTTTACAAACCTGCGACTTCATGGGACTGCTAAAGCATGGTTGGTCAGAGGTTTATTAGCCTCTCTTGCCAACATTCTGTCTCTGTCTGTTGTAGAAGGCTTTAGGGAAGCCATGAGAAGAAACTGGGTGGATTTTTCAAAGCACAATTTCTTCAACTAAGCCTATTGGCAAGACACAATGACAGGATAATGGTAGTTCAAAGTTTATTCTCACATACTTTTAACTCCAGGAATTATTAGTCGCGAGTTATTTAAAAGCCTTTGCTTTTCAAATGGTTTGCTTTTGTTCTAAGTTATTGTTCTTTAGTAAATTTAAGATTAAATTGATCTATTTTCACAAATTTTGCCTTTTAACTCTTTATTTTTATAGTTTGCTTAACTTTGAGTATTTAACTGTTATATTTTATAATTGTGCATGCAAAGTGACAGGTACCAGAAAATGCCTCTATGAGCCCTCAGCATGGGACAGTTCTATGTCTCTTGTCCCTAAGGATAGATTAATGACAGTACCATTAATGTGCTTTATTTCTCTCTATGGTAACAGGAATGATTTGGCAGGAGTGTTTTGGTTAGTTTCTGATTAAAAAAATATAACATATCATGGATTTTAGAGAATCAAAAAATAATGAAAATATACTTCGTGCCAATCAAAACATACCTTTTTTGATTATTTAAAAGGCCCTTTAGCATCTTGCTTTTTGTCAAAGTTATCCTCATGTTTATCAGTTAAATCATATTTGGGAAATGTTTGTGGTAACAACTAAAGAAGATATGTTTGGAACATACTTACATTTGCTGAAATTATGTTTTTGAGACATTCGAGCTAAGAATGGGGAACATTCTCTCTCACAGTGAAGCTTTAGTCTATTTCCATCCCAAAGCTCCAAAACTGTGGAAGAAATCTAGGGAAAACCTCCTTCTTATAATGAAATCCTTCTGATATTTTGGCACCTGTGTCCCTTAAATGATAACTGTACCCTTTTATTACATAGTATCTTTTGTATATTTTTATCACTGTACTTGTACCTTGTCTTGAAATTTCCTGTTCATGTATTCCTCCAGGGGTGAGACTTACTGCTGTCTGTATCTTCTTCCCTTCTGACCTGACTGGCATAACAAATCTTCAGCATCCCAACATGTTTGGTTAATGCTGAAGAAACAAATTATAATATTTAATGTGGGTGATCTTGAAAAAGTTCAAGGTGACATTGCTTATTTATGGAGTTTAATTTTCAGTATTAAATACAAATAGTGTCATGGCAGCTTTGGAGTTCTTGTAACACTCAGTTTTTTTTTTTTTTTTGTAGATGAGTATCTATCTGAGGTTTTTCTTTTTGTTACTCTGGTTCATTGTTATGGTATGGAGTAGGAATTCATTTTTTAAGGATGCTTATGACCTTGTTAAATAGCAGTCCAAAAATTGTATGGCTTGTTTTGATTTTAGCCAAAGTTACAGCTGCCTAGCTGTAAAGCAGTCAGTTTCTCTTATTATGACTAGTTCTTCAACTTGTACTGTTTTAAATTGCCTGCAATTAGCATATTTCAACCTTATTTTTAGGTTTAAATTGCAGTGTGAGAGTGTACTCTCCTCTTAGCTAATTAGTGCTATCAAGGAACAGTAGGTTACCTCATTAGTACCATGTGCGTTTAATTAAAGAAGAGAAAATTGGAGTTAACCTCATAGTTAATATTTTCACAGAGCGCTACAATGCCAACACCTTCAATTGGAGTCACACCCCTGTGTATCTAATTATTCACTGGTGCCAAATAAGGTTAGTAGGGTACTACAAGGCTGTTGACAAAATAATTTAGATGAAAATGTGTTTGTTAGATTCTGACAGTAAAATGTAACTTGAACATTTTCCTCCCAGTCTTCATCTGCCAGCATCAGGTGACATACTTCTTCATAAGAAACAGAAGGAAAGGACACTTTGGAAGCCATTTTTCTTGTTTGAATTAACGTTACTCTTATCTTGAAGAAAATGGCATATAGTCATGTAAAGCATATACAATCCATTTCTTAAACAGAGCCCCTGAACTCCATAGATGTATTTGAAAAGAATTATTTATAAGATGTAATATTTACATGCATCAAACCACTACAAATACTCCCTGACACCTTTAACACGTCCCTCCTTGCTTTTCTTCTTTTCTGGTATAGTTATAATTTCCCTTGTGTATCTTATGAATGGGGATCATCCTTTCATATCATACATGAAGTCTAAGGATGTGTTGTCACATGGTCTATTCAAATGCAGTGTAATCCTTTTGCCCTTCAGACAAAATCTTTGAAATTTCTAATGCTACGTAGGTAAAAAATGACATTCCGTGTCATTTATCAATAAATAATCACTTTGCTTTTATAGATAAAAATGCAAGCTATACATTTGAGTACATCGAGTAGTTTTCAATGCAAATGGTACAATTCAACAGGTTTTAACAGATATTATGGAGCTTGGCTCCATAGTCTTAGATATATTTTAATGGTAATAATTGTGACAATGTAATACGTAGCCGAGGCAGTTTATTTAGATTATTGAGATTATTCTTACATTACATGGAAGGACAAGATTTATGTTTATTTGTATTGGTTATAATTGATTACAAGTCAGAGGTTAGCTTTTTCAAAATTAAGTAGAGATAATTAAGTTTTAAGGACAAATAACATCTCATACATTAAAATTGCAGTGCCATTTAAATATAGAGGAACATTTATTAATATTGACCATAAATTAGTTAAGAAGTGGGAAGTGAGGTTCCTAAGGCAGGATCATGGTATAAAATTAGTGAATTTGTTGGTTGTTGGTTAATTTACGGTGATTCAAATATTCAACTACACATATGGCAAATTATTCCTATTTTTAAAATTGATGCTAGTATTAACTCTGAGGTGAAGATGGAATAGTCTTATCTATGTTGACCTACCAATACAATAATCTCCAAAAAATAATTTTTAAAAATGATAATGTACATTATTAACATAAGCCTTAAGGTTGGAAAAAAAAAGCCAACTCCTGATTCTCTTTGTTTAACCTAGGAATTGCTTCCAGAAACAAAATTATGTGTCTGTGGCCACTCTTCTGGTGATGGGCATCCTCACAACACATTTGCAGTAAGTTTCATTGGACAATTAGAAATTCAGCTACTAAGGACAAGGCCATGGACCCAATCCCACTAAATAGATTATCTGTGATTTTCTATACCCAATCCTTTCCATTGGTGCAGATAATCAAGATATGACTATTGTTAAGATACAGATGTGATTAGCTGGTTTTCTGTTACTTCTTTTGTTCCCACTTCAATTATGTTTCATCAAATATACAGTTCACAGTTTCTGTGAGTTGATGCTATTAAGGGCTACCTTAAATATATAAAGGCTGTGGCACCACTACCCTTTTCTTGAGCTTTAAGGAATAATTTGATAAGAAAGTACTGATATGTAGAAAATAAATGGATAGAGATTATGGATTGATCCAATACATATTTTAAGGAAAAGTTGCGATCCATGTTCTACAGGTTGCTATATAAATATACCAAGGCCTTTTTTTTTTTTTTTTTTTTTTTTTACATATTCTACCACTAGAGTGTAACTTCTCTTTTTGGACTATAATATTTGGTGAAAATTGCTTTTGTGACCCAATTTACATGCCAGTTAGCCTTGGAAATGAATAATAATCCTGAGGTATCAATTCAAAAATTTTTAGCTAGTACAACTTCATGTTTATATTTAGCATGGATTCTACCTGTATTCTTAAGAAATCTCTAAATGTGTAAAGTCATGTATTTTCGTATACAGTCAGCCCTCTGTATTCGTGGGTTCGGCATCTGTGGATTCAACCAACCATGAATCAGAAATATTCAGAAAAAAAACGGATGATTGTGTCTGTACTGAACGTGTGCAGACTTTTTTTTTTGTCATTATTCCCTAAACAATACAGTATAACAACTATTTATATAGCATTTATATAGTAGTAAGTGTTATAAGTAATCTAGAGATGATTTAAAGTATATGGGAGTATGCGCATAGGTGATATGCAATACTATGCCATTTTATATAAGGGACTTGAGCATCCTGGATTTTGGTATCCATCAGGGTTCTGGAACCAATCTCTCATGGGTACCAAGGGATGACTATACAGAAGTTTTGCTTGTTTCCTTAAGAATTGATGTACTTATTTAGTCCCAATGGCTAGAGTATTCCTAAATTGACTCACACAAAATTTATGTTTTACTACTCTATACATACTATTTCCTAATTATAATTGATAGGACACAACACAAGGCATAAACAAATAATCAGTGTCTTCCTGAATGAAGAAGAAATATCTAATTCCATACTTTGGTTAAAAAGAAACAGAAAGAAAATGAAAAGAAAATGTTTTTGTATAAACAGTGTCAGGCCAGGCCTGGTGGCTCAGGCCTGTAATCCTAGCACTTTGGGAGGCCAAGCAGGGTGGATCACTTGAGACCAGGAGTTCGATACCAGCCTGAGCAACATAGCAAGACTCCATCTCTGCAAAAAAATAAGAAAAAGTAGCAGGATGTGATGGCATTCACCAATAGTCTCAGCTAATCAGAGGCTGAGGCAGGAAGATCCCTTGAGCCCCAGGAGTTTGAGGTTGCAATGAGCTGTGATGACGCTGCTGTACTCCAGCCTGGGCAACAGGGCGAGGCCATGTGTTTAAAAAAAGAAATTGTCAAATTAATATGGAACATTTATGCAAAATATGAAAATTTTTAAAAATGTTAGATACAATACAAAAATAAACTCAGAAATTGAAGCACCAATAATGTGCTATTCTGTGGAAATAATAAATGCAGAGATTGATAATGTTAATTTTGTATATGCATGTTTCAGGATGATCTGAAATTATCTGGTTTGGGGTCTAATTCATTTTAATCCTAAAGTATTTAGCAATCCTGAGCTTTCTGTGTAATAATATTTGAAAAAAAATAGCAAAAAATAAAGAGTGATGGTAAGTTTTGCTGAAGTGATATAATTAAATTTACATAAAGTTTAAAATAATCTTAATTTCTAAGTATTCTCTTTAAGTCTAAAGGAAGAAAAATTTAAGGTAAACTTCAAATATAATTATATACTTTAATAAAGAAGATTATTCAAAAATATACTTTCAAAATGGGACAGTGTTCCTAATTGTTAACACTCTTTCCTAAAAGAGTCTTGATGGAAAAAAGTGTTTTCATTAGACTGAAGAGTGAGCTGGCTAAACTACTAGTAGTGTTTGTTTTTTATCTAAAACTATTTTTATCATTTAAAAAATTCTCCATTCTACTGATGAGAAAAAATATTTATAGTATCAGATCTTCATGTTATCGCTGACATATTTTCAGAGTGAAATGGCCATTGTACAAGGTTGAGTCATGGGCAAGACAGATGGAATTATTCCCCACTGAGAGGAAAGTCTTTATATTCATTAATTTAATGTGAATACTAACTTACTCACAAAAATCAGTGTTATACAAATGCTTTCTCATTTGTTAAGTGTAAGACAGTTAAGTAGAAGAGACAGAACTCTGCTTCACTAGACCTAAATGATCTCCTCTGGCAGCCAAGAAGAATTATGGCTAAAAAATGTAAGGAAAAGTGATTGTCCTCTCAATTGTCTGCATCCAGACAGAGTGCATGTACAAAGTTAGGAAATACATGTGGCAATGTCAGTTTACCTCCAATGTTTTCTTCCCTTCTGTATTATAAATATATTGGCAGAGAGTAACCAGAAGTTGAAGTGCAAAGATGTATAGTATAAACTTGAATTTATTCAATTACAAATTAGATGTTAGCAGTACAAATTAGACGTTATTTCACTGTGTTTATTTTTGAGTAGTTTTTAATTGAGTATTATGGTGACATCAGTACTATGGTCCTTCAGTAAAAAAGAAACCTTAAGATAAAATATTTCAAACACTTACATTATAACTGATTTTGTTAGTGCTATAAAGATATGATATAGAGACAATGTTCAGGGCTACTATTTAAAACCCTCCAGATGCTTCATCTGAAACAGAATAAAGATTTCTGTTTTCAAAGTCTTGGCTGACATTTGTATGCAACTTTTTGATTAATCTTTTTCTTTCCTAGAATAATTCAAGATATTAATAATTATCTTTATATACCTCACTCAGCTGGGATGTAGCTCCCTGAGCTCAGTTCGTTCTAGAGATGCCTCCTAAGTGATTGCCTCTCACCTTCTATTTTATTGTAATACTTGAGAGTGCCATGAATTCTCTTGATGTTAGTTCCAAGAAGGACCAGTAGCAGAGCTTTTTCAATGGATACTCCTCTTTGAAATTTATCATGAATAATTTACTCCCCTTGATGATTCACCAAAGCATTAGTATGACAGAAATTGGGGGCTGATGAAAGGATGATTTATTTGGTTATCTGGTTTTGTTGTTGTTAATATATTTTTCATCAAATAAATTGATACACACACTATAATATGTATGTGACAATAATGTGAATTTATGGTGCCCATTAGAACAGACTATTTTTCCTTTCACATTTCAAAGTTATTTGTAATGAGCTATTAGTGATAGTCTCTACAAATATGATATATATTTAGTATTAATTTCTTAAAGTTGTCTCTGTAGTTCTTGAATATTTCTAAACTTCACTTAAGGAAATGTGTATTCTGTATTAATTGTATTTCTGTTCCTTGTTGTATTTCCACATCAGCTTATTTTAACATAATAAAACAAAAGACACAGAAAACAAGCCAGCTTAGTGTACAAACCTTCACACTTGTGCCTGATTTATGGAATAAAATTGTTACTGACATAGTTCATGCAGCAATATATTTACTTTAAAAATACTTCTAAATAACTGGATTTTTAAATATAATTTTCAATACATAGGGTGTCAGGTTAAGCAGCACATTAAAACTTAAACTGAAAACTGCATATTATCCTTTAAATCTTTATCCAGTGGAGTTCAGAAAGCCTGCTATTACCAGAGTTCTTTTGTGCTATAATCACACAATACATCATACAACTTAGATGAAATTGCACTTGTTTACTTTCAATGAATCATATTTTTTATCATAATGATAATAAATCTTACGCAAATAGATTCACAGTATCGATAAGCTAAACAATAAAGTCTTGTACCAAGTTAAGAATTTCAAAATGGAATTTTTTTTATATTCAGCATCAAGGAACAGTTTGAAATGCTCAGGCTCTCACAACCATGCTTCTGAGCTCCTTTCCCTGAAGTCACGATTTCCATTCTACCAGACATCCTCCTGTTCTCTCTTAAGAGAGATACTGTGAGATATTTCACAGTGTTGTCAGAAATAATCTACCCTTGAAATCCAGAATACTAGTGATAACATCACATTCTGGACTACATATACTATAATAATCTTAATTTTAATTTAGCATTTTATATGTAAAATATTTAGTCTGGCTTAAAACAGACAATGTAGAATACAAGTAAGAAACTTCATCATAAGAGATTGCAGTAAAGGGGAGGGAGGCATCAAGCAAACATCTCAGAAATAAATTCTCATTATATTAAGCATAATTCATAAAGTCACAGATGGTTGTGTAATTGTAGAGGGAAAAAGTGTTGTCAAAGTGATGTCATAGAAATTTGATAAATAAGTTTAAAAGTTTATGAATTAAATATTTCTAGAGCATCATATACCTTTGAATACATATACCTAATGAATATTTTTCTGATTCATAATTAATACAAAATTAAAATTAGAAAATCAATATGAATAACAAATGTACTGTTATTTTATCCCTATTTCTCCCTAAATCCTTGTTGCCTATAAGTTGTAAGTATAAGAGAGTATATCCCTTCTACTCTCTTATATTGAGGCTGGATAATATGCGTTTTTTGCATGTCTATTCTTTTCTCTTTACACATCACCTGAGTAGTGAGTGACTTTGCTGTAGTAGAAGCATTGTGCTCTGTCACTGCATTGTCAAAATAAAAAGGAGGGGATATCTACTTAACATGCATTTTTATCCTATATGGACTGATAGACTATTGTAGCTAAACGGGGCCTTCCTTATGTGTCATCTAATTCAACTCCTTTATTATACAGTTGAAAAAACAGTGTTAAAGAATTGATGTAATCTCTC